TAGAGTAATCAACTTACAGCATTGACGTCGCCTTCCTCTCCGGAATGAACAATGGCAATTTTAGCCGATGCGATTGCTTCGAGTACAGAGGCGATATTGATATGAATGTATCGTCGTGCACGTGAAAGCTGCGAGCCTGTCGAATTTGGCATACCCGCAGCCACAGCTCCCATCTTTGGAGCTGGCACAGGCGATACTGGAAATATGACACTAAAGAACGCAATACAATAATTTAATAACAATATGCACACAAAAATATTGGTGCCCTTTGCTTTAAGAATGATTACACCGAAAAGCCCCTTTAAAACTTCAGAGAAAAAATTTACTACAATCACCCTAAATTGAATATACAAAACATAAGCTCAAATTTCATTTCCATCCTTCAGTACGACTGGGATGTAGCAATGAAACTGGAGCATCTATTCATCTAAGAATTCCAATGAACAGGCACAGCGGCAAAAACGCGGCTAATTTAATGAATTTTCTCTCGTGAAGATTTCTGTTGAGAAGAGACCTCCGCAACTCAAGTTTAGGTACGGAATCATTCTATTATGTTTGACACATTTCAAAAGTCACAATATAACATGTATTTTTGGTTGTATTCGCTCTTTGCTTGAGATCGGGAAGGTAAACATGCGATTTTGAAAAGTTTGGTACATCGCTTCAAAAAAACAAATGTGCATGCTTACGCATTCGCGCCTAATCTTGGAAAGAATGGATATTGGATTATAAATCCAGTTAAGATGGATTTTCTCAATATTCCAAATAACACGGAATCGAATCTGTATAGCTAATACCGATGCTTTAATTGAGGATAACTCCATGCTGGTGAAAAATTTGCGAAGATCGATAAACAAATTTTAGCATTACCAATTTCAGTCACAGTTCCCTCTGTCTTTGTTATAAGTTTTCAATGAGGAAGTACAAGTGATTCGAATGACAAATTCTAGAACCACATTTTTTCTTCAGAAACTTAATCTTATTGAAACCATGAATCATTCTCGACCTCAGGAACGA